ACTTCCTGCTGAACTCAGATGCAACTTCCAAGTTCTTCTAAACAGCCACCTCCAAGTGATCCCAGTTGTCACAGAAGATGGAATATTTCCCTTTTATGCTCAAACAATAGCTGTTGCTATGTCAAGGATGTAGGGGGAAGGAAGAAAAGAGGAAGTGAAGAGAGACTCAAGGGTAAATTATTTGTCATCAATGAAAACATATTGTTCAACCCTTGGATATCACTGCAGAAGTTGAACACAAGGGCAAGAGGAAAGGTGAAATAAAAGGTCCATGAAGTAGGAAATGAAACCTCTACATGAAACACACCCATAACCTCACATACACACACAAAATTATTGCAATGGAACAAGAGGTCCTCCAGAGACACCCGTTGGTATTGACTACAAAATGACAGTGGATTCTTCCCCTCCAGTATAAGGGAGACAGTACACAAAAATATCAACAGCTATTCATACCGATCTATCTACCTCCTTAAAGCAAATGGTTTTTATATAAACAAAGCTCCAGATTTTCAGAAAAGTTCTGCCTCTGAAACCTCTGAAAATAGCTCATCTGGTGACAAACAGCCCAGGTGAAAACAATGGAACCGTTTATGGAAGAAGCTAAAATAGAGAAAACCCAAACCAGCACATAGCTAGAGAGCTTAGAATGATCCAGATTTCATTTGTGCTTTCTAATTATCTTGCTGGGAACCTAAACATGAGTTTTCCCAAAGTTAATGATGTTATCTTCAAGGCCAAGCAGGGAGGCCATTCATCCACTTTTGCTCTGCCCCGCTTGGAGTCAGATAACATCACAGCCCTCAGAGGGCAGGCATGCTTGGCTGTGTCTGCAGCCTCTGGGGCCTCGGCAACCTCAGGGAAGAGGAGCATGCACACAAGGATAGGGATTCCCTTTCCAACCCCATCCTCTTCCTTATTTACAAGCACAGCTGGTGCCTGCCTTGTTTAAAGTATATTCAAGGGAAGATGCATATCATATCTTATTTGCTGGGATAAAAACATACCCTACCCTCCCACGTCTGTGATTCATTTCTCAAGGCTGGGAACTCAGATAAACTGTCCATCCCCTCTCAGCCTGTCCCCATCCTTGGCCTGTGAACAGTCACCGCTAGAGCAGAACCCTCTCCCTGCTTCAGGCGGTTCTTCCCACAGAGAAGCCAAAATCAGCCAAAAAGTGCTGTTCCCTGGTTGCAGGTGAAGCACATCTCTGAATAATTAAGCAAGTTTCTTTTCTTTTCTTTTTTTTTTTTTTGAAACAGAGCCTCACTCTGTTGCCCAGGCTGGAGTGCAGTGGCACAATCACAGCTCACTGCAGCCTCGACCTCCCTGGGCTCAGGTGATTCTCTCACCTCAGCTTCCCGAGTAGCTGGGGCGACAGATGCACACAACCACGCCCAGCTAATTTTTGTATTTTTTTTTTTAAAGACAGGGTTTCACCATATTGCCTGGTCTCGAACTCCTGGGCTCAAGGGATCCACCCACCTAAGCCTTGCAAAGTGCTGGGATTATAGGTGTGAGCCACCACACTCAGCAGTTTATTTTCTTTACTGCTAGAAAACTGTTTTTCCCTTGTTATCACTCACCAGCTCTGTGGAATTTGGGCTCCTTGTGTCCTGAGGTACCAGCTGAAAAGATGAAGAAATTTTGACCCAAAGGGACTGCTCTGTTCTAAAAGGTTAAACCTTTCCCCCTCAGTCGCCCCCAACACCTGCTGAATGTTACAACTGAAGCACATCAATCAAATGAGGAAGAAAAATTTTAGGTCATGGGTCACAAAGATTAGCTGACCCAGATGAAGATCAAGGAAGCCTATAGTGCAATGTGGACAAAACCTGCAGAAAAGATAACGAGGGCCGGTGGTCTGAAAGCAGCAGAATTTTTAGAAGAAGCTGATGTCTGTGTGTTTAAATCTCAGGAGATAGTTTCTCGGCTTCTGAAAACATCAACACTTGCTTCCCCATGGACCAGCAGGATGGGCTTTTACACAGTTAATAAGTAGTCAACTTTTGTTGAAGAGGGGGTGGGCACTGCAGTAGATATAACCTGCTTCAGGTGATTCAGAGATGTGAATGATTTGGAATTACAAGCAAATTAAGGGAAATTCTCCTAAAAGAAGATCATAAGCTCCTTTAAATAAGAGAAAGATGTTTAAAACCCCCATTTTTTTTTTCCCAGAAGCTCATTCATTGCAAAGAAGTCTGTCTCACTAGCTGTTGTTTTGTGTTAGCAATACACTGTTTGCTAATGTGTACAACTCTCTTTATCTACAGGAAAAAATAAATACACCTTTAACAAACATTTGTAGAATGCATACACTGTGGCCCTGCTCTAACACCTGGGGATCCAGACCCAAACCAGATACTGAAGTGTCCGTCTATTTGGAGGTAAAAAGGCCACCCAAAAATGCTGCCAGCTGAATGGAGTTCTTACATACAAGTAAAAGAGCGAATGCTATTTTTGTTCTCATCTGCTATTCCATCAAGTCAGTGGAAATGCCTGTGCTTTTTGTAGGTACATGTCATCGCTAAAGTTGGTGGGGACAAGTCTGAAAGCAAGCCAGCTATTAGCAACTGTGCTCACGCAGGTCCTCTATCTTTAGTTAGACTGTGAAGAACTAAAAGTGTTAAAGTAAAAGTGTTAAAGACTCTGCTGCCTTCCGCCATTGTTTGGGGGAAATGTTGACTGGGAGGTGTAGAAGGGGGCGAGGAGGAGGTGAAGCCAGTACCCCAGCGGCTGCAGCTCACAAGCTCCATGACTTCCAGGTGTGTCACTCACTGGGGGACAGACTGCCTACATCAACAGATCACTCTTCAAATCCAACACCTTTTAAAAAATTTATGGTAGAAAAGCAAACAGGCCCCCATTAATGAATTTATTATTAGAGGTTCCTTGGTCATAATAAAGTATGTTAAATAGCATGCCTCATGTGGTCATCCGAACATCTGAACTGTTGACTGAAGAAAGGCAAAAACACTCTACCACACTTGTTTCTTTATGGTATTTCCTAGCACTGGGAAGGGCAGTATTTCTTTTTAAGCAGCATGACAGCCACCTATGTGGGAGTGACTCTTACCCTGGTAAATGCGTCGGAGAGTGACTGTCTGAAAGTCTGGCTGCATTTAGACCAAGACTGCTACGTGATGGTGCTCTCACACACACAAACAACTCCAGGTACCTCAGCATCCATAGCCTTCCATGGCTGACATGGAGAATCAGAATGGAAGGGGGTGGCTAGGATGACAGGCAAGGGTGCTGGGCTCAAATCCTCACTCTGCTACTTGCTGGCAGAGGGAGCTTGGGCAAGTCATCTAACAATTTTGTGCCTCAGTTCAGTTTTTAAATCTATAAAACGGAGATACCATATCTGATAAGATTGCTAGGTGGGTTAAAGGAGTTTGTACAACATGTAAGGTACTTGAAGAACTATGAGCCAGGCATCCTTATAACTGTTGGCCATTATCTTTTAGAAGAAAGCACCATTGCCCTGTCATAGCAAGAAGGTGTCCAAGGTGTCCACTGTGTACCCTGCATCATGTTATAAAAGAACTATGTCTGCTCCTGCTGCAATCTATAAGAAATTCAGGAGCTGGGGGCAAGGGCTAGGTCATGGTCTCTTTGCATTAATAACACCAGACCCAGCAGATTATCTGATATACAGTTAGATGTTTACTAAAGTGAACAATCCACAAAATAAATCACCAAAATAAATATGTAGATACATAGCATCTCCCACTCTGTGCTGATCTTAGTTTTGTCATTCACTTCATTGCCTCTATAACACAGCATTAAGTAAAGAAAGTAGCTACCTCAGGTGAATTCAGCACCAAATGCTGCGTTAGGCCTAGTTCACAAAAATCACAACTACTGTGTGATCACTTAGATATATCCTGCACGGGATGATAGCAGAGATATTCCCATGCTTCTGCTCTATGAAAAAAAAATGCCCTGCTTTTTATCTGAAGTCCAAAAAATCCAATTTAGTTGAAAAGACTGTTTTGTTTATTTTCCCCTCTGTTGCACAGTATGGGAAAGAGAAACTTCACAAGAAAGTAAGCTCATGTTACATAGTGAGTTGATGTTGTTTTCCTAAGTATAAATCCCTAACTTTCAAGTGGTTCACTGGTGCAAAGCCAGTCTGTCAGCCAAAATCATCTACAACCCATAAAAGATTCAAAAAAGAATTTATTTGAAATTATGACCTCATTAAAAGAAAATCCCATTATCTTGACCCTAGTAGAACGTTTGTCCAGGAAATTGGAGTAATGCTTTCCCTCCACCTCCACAATTAACGTTAAAATCGAGCAGAGTTCTGTTTAAGTCAGGAATAAAACTGAACTCACTGGAACTTCTCATTCACAAGTGATGAGGGAGACTAAGTCAACTACACGTACCACATGAGCACAAAGAGTTTATTAGAGAAGACCTTTACTGAGAGACACAGAAATAGCTTCTGAATCATTAAAGAATGACAAAGTTACTTAGCAATCCTTAATGTATATGTGGGCCTAACAGTGTCAAAATCCGTGAGACAGAAACTAATAGAACACCCAGGAGAAATAGAAGAATCCACCATTATAGGTAGCGACTTCAATATCCCTCTAGCAGAAATGGTTAGATCCGGCAGACAGAATTCAGTAAGGACATAGTTAAGCTCTGGCAACAGCAGAATATACATTCTTCTCAAGCTCCTGTGGAACATTCACCAATAGAAACTACATTCTGGATCATAAAATATACCTTACCACATTTAAAGGAATAGAAATCATACAATGCATGCTCTCAGACTACAGTGTAATTAAACTAGAAATCAATAACAGAAAGACAGCTGAAAAATTCCCCAGTACTGGAGAGGAAACAACACACTTCTAAACAACACATGGGTCAGAAAGGAAACTCAAGAGCAGTTAAAAATATTTTGAACTAAATGAAAATAAAAATACAACTTATCAAAATGTGTGGGATGCAGCAAAAGCAGTGCCTAGAGGAAAATTTATAGCACTTACTGAATATATTCCAAAGAAGAGGCATCTAAAATCAATACTCTAAGCTTCTACTTTAGGAAACTAGAAAGAGAAGAGCAAATGAAGTACAAAGTAAACAGAAGAATGATGAAGTTATTCATTTTAGTTACTGTTTTGCTCTGTGCTATCTGAGTCATCCACCTGGGATAGCACAGGTATATTTCATTTTACAGATGATCCATTTTCCTTTTTTACAAATTGGAAGTTTGTGGCATCTATTGGCACCACTTTTCCAACAGCAAGCACCCATTTTGTGTCTCTGTGTCACATTTTGGTAATTCTCACAATTCATTATTATTATAATACCTGTTATGGTGGCCTATGCTCAGTGATCTTGGATGTACTATTGTAATTGTTTCAGGGTGCCATGAACCACACCCATAGAAGATGGCAAACTTAGCTGATCACTGGAGCAGTCAAAACACAATACATTTATCAATCATTTCTCCATCTCTCTCCTTCTCCTCAGGCCTCCCTATTCCCTGAGACACAATAATATCAGCACTAGGCCAATCAATAACCCTACAGTGGCCTCTCAGTTTTGAAGTGAAAAGAAGAGTTGCATGTCTCTCACTTTAAATCAAAAGCTAGAAACGATTGCACTTAGTGCAGTATGCATGTTGTAAGCAGAAAACAGGCCAAAATCTAGGCCTTTGCCTCAAACAATTAGCCAAGCTGTGAATGCCAAGGGAAAGTTCTTGGAGAAAATTAAAAGTGCTTCAGTGAACACACAAATGATAAGAGAGCAAAATAGCCTTATGGTTGACATGGAGAAAGTTTTAGTGGTCTGGAAAGATGAAACCAGCCAAAACTTGCCCTTAAACCAAAGCCTAATTCAGAGAAAGTCCCTAGTTCTTCGATTCCGAGAGAGGTGAAGAAGCAGCAGAAGAAAGTTGGAAGCTAACAGAGGTTGGTTCAAGAAGTTTAAGGAAAGATGCCCTTTCCATAACATGAAAGTGCACAGTGAAGCAGCAGGTGCTGACATAGGAGCTGTAGCAAGTTATCCAGAAGGTCTAGCCAAGACCACTGATGAAGGTGGTTACCCTGAACAACAAATTTTCAATGCCAATGGAACAGCCTTCAATTAGAAGATGATGCTATCTAGGACTTTTGTAGCTAGGGAGAAGTCAATGCCTGGCTTAAAATCTTCAAAGGACAGGCTGATTCTCTTGTTAGGGGCTGATGCAGCTGGTGACTTTTGGTTGAAGCTAATATTCATTTGCCATTCCAAAGTTCCAAAGTCCTTATGCTAAATCTACTCTGCCTGTGCTCTACAAATGAAACAAAGCCTGTTTACAGCATATCTCTTTACAGTATGGTTTATAGAATATTTTAAGCCCACTGCTCAGGAAAAAAATAACTTCTTTCAAAATGTTACTGCTCATTGACAATGCACCTGGGTCACCCAAGAGCTCTGATGGAGCTATACAAGGAGACTAAAGTTGTTTTAATGACTGCTAACACAACATTCACTATGTGAGCCCATAGATTCAACAGCAATTTCGAAATTCAAGTCTTAAGACCTACATTTTGTAATGCTATAGCTGCTACAGATTTGTGATTCCTCTGATGGGTCTGGGTAAAGCAAACTAAAAATTTTCTGGAAATGATTCACCATTCTAGATGTCATTAGAACATTTGTAATTCATGGGAGTAGGTAGAAATGTCAGCATTAATAGGAGTTTGGAAGAAGTTATTTCCAACCTTGAAGACTGATTTTGAGGGGTTTGAGACTTCAGTGGAGGAAGTCACTACAGGTGTGGCAGGAGTAGCAAGAAAACTGGAATTGGAAGTAAAGCCTGAAGATGTGATTGAATTACTGTAATCTCAATAAAATGTGAATGGATGTAGAGTTATTTCTTATGGATGAACAAAGAAAGAAGTTTCCTGAGATGGAATCTACTCCTGGTGAAAATGCGGTGAACCTCAGGAATCTACTCCTGGAGAAGATGCTGTGAACACTGTGGAAATGACAACACAGGACCTAGAATATTCCATAAACTTAGTTGGTAAGGCAGTGGCAGGGTTTGAGAGGACTGACTTCAATTTGAAAATTCTACTATGAGTAGAATGCTATCAAACAGAATCACATGTCACAGAAAAATCTTTCATGAAAGGAAGAGTCAATTAATGTGGCTCATTTCATTGTTTTATTTTAAGAAATTGCCCCGGCTGCCCTAACCTTCAGCAACCACCACCCTGATCAGTCAGCAGCCAACAACATCCTCCACCAATAAAGATTATGCTTTGCTGAAGGCTTAGATAATTGTTAGCATTTTTAACAATAAAGTATTTTTAATTAAGGTATGTAATTTGTTGAGACATAATGCTACTGCACACTTAATGGAACACAGTATAATGTAACATAACTTTTATATGCACTGGAAAACCAAAAAGGTAATGTAACTCACTTTATTTTGATATCTGCTTTATTGTGGTGGCCTGGATTTGGGCCTGCAATATCTCTGAGCTCTGCCTATACTTCTCAAACTTTTCCATCAAAACTTCCATAAAATGGCAAAGAGAGGGAACTCATACCAATCCCTCTAATTTGGGAACACAGCCTAAAGCAATCCAATGGAAGAAAAAAAAAATCACAATTTACATAAAGTCTTATCTTTTATCCTAAAAATTAACTTTGATAATTCTTTGATATTTCTTTTTTTTTTTTTCCTGCAACCTCTGCCTCCCAGGTTCAAGCAGTTCTCCTGTCTCAGCCTCCAGGTAGCTGGGATTACAGGCACCTGCCACCATGCCTAGCTAATTTTTATATTTTTAGTAGAGTTGGGGTTTCACCATATTGGCCAGGCTGCTCTTGAACTCCTGACCTCAAGTGATCTGCCCACCTCGGCCTCCCAAAGTGCTGGGATTACAGGCATTAGCCACTGCACCCAGACAACTTTGATATTTCGATCTTGCATTCTATTCATTAACATATCTGAGTTTGTTTTAATATAGAAAACAATGTTATGACTTGCCAGTTAAGTTCCTTTTTCATTCTCTAGTTGTTCCCATGCCAGGTGTGGTCTGTGGTTTCCACATATGCCATGGCGTACTCAACACTAGTACTCCCATTTGAGAAGGGGACACGAAAATACAGTCTCCAAGTTCACTAGAATGTGGGGGATTGCAGGCCTGCCTCATAACCTGGCCCAATTCTTGCAGAGCACAAAGTTCCAGAAACAACAGGAGAGAGGATAAGCAGGTTTACCCTGCCTTTCAGTGCCGTGAGACCCAGTGCCCACCAGCCTCTGGGCAAGTGAGGGAATGAGGTAAACCACCAGCCTTTCTCTCCAGGGAGAGAAATGTGGTAAGTAATCCTCTTCAGCACCTCCTAGGAAGGAGGGAAGTCAAGGTCTCATCATGAGGGTTAGAAATGATGGGTATCCATTGTAATGCACTTTTATCTTCCTGGTTCTGAATATTTTCTGCCTTAATTTTCTGCTACAATAACACATTCCATCTCATAAGAGTGGTTCATTATAGCCATGATCCTCGGATCAAGGGGACAGAACAGAAACTCGACAGAGAGATCAAGTGCTCCTAAGAATGTATCAACTGACAAAGTGGGATTTGAAATCAGTGAGTGGAGAATACACTGTTCAATGAATGATGTTAGAATAACTGGGTCATTATTTGTTAGATGTTTATCCTACACCTTACACCAAAATACATACCCAAATAACTAAAATTTAGATTTGAAGGTAACTACATAAAGGTATGAGGGGAAATTAGAGATCAAAGAGTCACAAAAAATCCTTTCTACCCCAAGACTAAGTATTACACAAAAGTAAATATCATAAAGGAATTATGAACAGATATTTTTAGTCCATAAAGGTTAAAAACAAAATCACACTTTTAATAAGCCCAAATACAACTCTCATAAATTTAAATGGCAAGATGACAAAATACTTTCAGTGTGTATTTTTAAAAACTGCGTACAATTCCATAACAAAATCACTAACCTACACAAAACATGGCCTAAGGACACAAACAGGCAACTCACAAGAAAATAAGTTTAAATACTCAAACATGTAGCAGGATTCAATCTTCTGAAAACCAAAGAAATACGAATTAAAACAATGAGATACCATTTTGCCAAGATCATTAGCAAAGTCTAGAAAATTATAATAGTCACAATGAGCAAATTCGGCAATAAATAGGCATTCACACATAGACAATAGAATTATAAATGTGTACAGCTTTTCTGGAGAGCAGGTTGTCAAATATATTAAGAGACAAAAAAAAACTGGGAAACTTTTGACCTAGTGGTCAATTTCTGGTGATTCATCCATAGAAAATAATTCTAAAATGCTGGTACTAACTCAGCGGCAAGAATTTTCATTTCAGGTTTGAATATTTAAAAGTTTAAAGCAATCTATATCTCCATCAATAAGGGATGGATTAATAAGTGGCAGAGTTATATAACAGAATACACTGTAGCCACAAAAAATTAATACAGATATATGTTTGCCACAGAAATATTTTCCCCATATACTGTAAGCAAAAAGCAGATTTTAAAACAGAGTCTAGCAAAGTTGTGAAGGGAAAAAAGTGACTATATAAATATCTGTATCCTTGCCCAGAAAGAAGGCTGGTAGGACACCTGCTAGTGAAACCTAGTAAGAGGATGTCTCTGGTGAGTCAATTTGGGGGTGTTTTTACACCCTGTTTGCAGATTCTGATTTCGGCTTCATTTTGGGAAAACGAAGTGCAGTATTTAACTGAGGCTGGTGGAAAAGCAGCATGTGGTGAAGAGCACACCCAGGGAGATGGCAGCAGAGGATGCATGTGTTCTATGAATGAGAAGTGGCTGGTGCTGTGGCCAGCACAGGGGTGTGCTTGTTTTGAAGATTTCTTTTGTTGGGGGAGGAGAGCGCTTGACGGGATTCAGAGAGAGTCCAAATCCAGAAGGATTCTCCATCTGGGTGATCTATGAGTTTACCTCACATTCCTAAAAACTGCTCAGGCCCCAGGCTTGCTTTCATTCCAGTTCAGGGACCTATGATTCATCCCCTGAAACCCTAATTATAACACCCGAGGTCTGCTATGTGCAAAAAACATCTGTCATTGTTTAAATTTGCTGGCAGGGAGTGTGTACAGCACGCAGACCGGCCTGATGATGCATTCCTCCATTGCAAAACTTAAAACCCAGAAACCAACCCAAGGTGAGAAGGGTTCCAGCCCAAATTTCCAACTGTGCTCAGTGACAAATAAGATAGACAGGTTGTGTCCACCATAATTAATATGCCAATTCCTCAGGCTGCCACCATGGCAGAAGTTACAGATCTTAAGCTCTGTCAACCAAAAAAAGTATCATAAATATGAGTTTTCCTTGTTAGTTGCTAAGAACTGGCATAAGGAAGGGAGGAAAGTGTGTAATTGCAAACCTCTTGTTTATCAGCTTCAGCCACTTTTGTGTGACCATGTTACCTGAACTGTTTAGCCAGTTAATCTCCGATGCCCCTTGGAAGTAAAGTAATGACAAAGAGAATGCCTCAGACCTGGCCAGAGATGACACAAAAGAGTAAAGGTACATCTATCCTCTGAGCGCCCAGGAGAATTTTTACTGACCTCATTCAAACTCAGATTAAAGCCCCTAAGGAACCCAAGCTGAAGATATGGTCTCACTGTAAGAGTCTAATATTTTAACCCAGACGTACTGGTCTTAACAACACAACAGAAAAGAAACAAAAAACAATCAACAATAAATTCTCTCACATAAGCATTGGTTGTGCATCTAACGGACACAATAGTGTATCTGGGGGTTTTTAAGTTTTTTAAAGTTTAATGAAGCATCAAGATGCTGCTTAGCAGCCTCAGCTACAAATTACAATGTCATTTACTCTCGAAATCAGAAATGGCATTACTGTAACAACATTTGGGGAAAAAACCCCACACAGTATCGCCTCCTGCTTAAAAAAACTAACAAAACAAAAATGCCAACTCCTTTAGTAAATTATGATGAAAAATATGTTTTAACATCATAAAGGATATATGTGTATATGTACATATATTTTAAAAAGTTCAGCTTCATACTTAACTGTTAAATGCACAAACATTATCCGTAAAGCCATGAAAAATACAAGAACATCTACTGCCTTTTAAGAAACTATGCCCTTAAAGCTCTAGTCTGCACTATAAGAGATTAAAATATTAATAATTTAATATTTAATAAGGAATTAAGATATTTAATATGAGATTAAAATATTAATAATTTAATATTTAATAAGGAATTAAGATATTTAATATGAGATTAAAATATTAATAATTTAATATTTAATAATATATTAGAACCTTTAATAAGAGATTAAAATATTAAAAGGAAGGAAGCAAGTTATACAAACTTCAATGATCATCTACCTAGAAAACCTAAGAGGATCAACTGAAGGACTATTAGAGTTAACAAAACTCATTAAGACATAAGTATGAAAAAAAAAAGCTTTTATATACCAGCAATATACCAATTAGAATAGATAGCAGGAGGAAATGTCTCCCACACTAGAACAGAAGTCCACTAGAACTGAAACTCTATCTCATTCTTGGCTGAATCCCCAGCATCTAGAAGTGGTCCCAGCACAGAATAGGTGCTTAATAAATATTTGTAGAATAAATGAGTGAATACATTCATAATAAGGGTAAAAATGCAATATAATGGAACCAAGCTGAAATTCCATAAACAGATTCTAATACTTAAGAATTTAGCATATGAAAATAAACCAGGCACAGAAAGACAAACTTCACATGTTCTCACTTATTCATGACAGCTAAAAATTAAAACAATTGAACTCATGGAGACAGAGTAGAATTACTGGTTACCAGAGGCTGGAAAGGGTAGTGGGAGGCGTGGGGGAGTGGAGGTGGTTAAAGGTGCAAAAAGTAGAAAGAATAAGATCTAGTATTTGATAGGAGAACAGGGGACTCCTATTATTAGTCAATAATAATTGAATTTTACATTTTAAAATAGCTAAAAGAGTCTAATTGGATTGTTTGAGGATAAATGCTTGAGGTCATAGATGCTCCATTTATCCTGATATGATTATTACACATTTTTGGATGCCTATGTATCAAACTATCTCATGTACCCTATAAATTTATATATCTACTACGTACCCATAAGAATTAAAAATTATTTTAAAAAGTTAGAAGGAGACTTTTAAAAAGAAGAAGAAGAAAGCATAGTGTGTCTCATGTTAAACTTCTAGTAGGGCAGAACTGAGATTTGAATCCAGAGTTGATGAGATTCCAAGTCCTGTGTGCTTAGTTCATATGCTACAGTATGTCCCAGATCTTATCATTTTACAAAGAAACTATTTTAGTTGTTTAAAAAAAAAAACACCCAGAATTTATCATATGATGAAAATGGA